AAGCTCCTCATTTCTTTTTTGAACTTTTTGAGCAGAATATTCGTTCTATAATGTTTGTTTTAAACTTTATGTGTGAAAGAGGAAATAGTTCTATAACTGCAGCGATGTTAAGATCAAATCAAAAATATTTTTTGTTGTTTGAATAGCGAATTCATCGAAGTTGCAGGATTATCAATAGCCGGTTGCTTCCCCAGGGGCTGTTTCGAAAGAAATTCATCTTTGATATGTTTGGACTGTGATTGTTGCATCCGAAGCGCCTAAGTAACTACAATTTGCGCTCTTTTGTTCTTTTTGTTGGCTAGCTAAGTGGGTTGCATTATGTTTATTTGTAGGCCTTCACAAAAACATGTTTTTTCAATAAGTTAGTCTGAACTCTTCGTGAGATTTTCATTTTCACACTAACTACCAAGCAGTCAATGTAAAAGTTGTAATCAGACGACATGAGAAAAAAATCAAGTCAGAGCAGGCGTGTTGAAGCCTTTCAAAGCGTTATATGCTGATATAAGACAAAAGTGTTTCGGCTTCCGCCCTTTGTTTTTGCCTATGGCTGGCTGGCTTCTGATTCGCTAGAATGTTTGAAATGTTTTGAGAAGTATTTATGAAAGCTCTGGGAGAAATTACTTTTATCAAGTTGTAATGTGAGTGAAGTTTATCGATTCCGATGATATTCAGGAAGATCTCAATTCCAGGTACCTATTTCTACTCAATCTGGAACTATTTACAACCCGCCTCCTTCCCACCACTCCAAAATCGTCACTAAACATCCGATGGTGAATCCTCCTGGAATGATGCCTCCGGCGGTACCTGCGAAGCCGTTGAAGCAGAAATTGTCAGAGAGTTCAACTTCTATCAACGGTGCCGGAGCTTCTCCTCCATCCTCCGCTGTAGGCATGTCCTCACCACCACCACTGTTACCGTCTCAACTCAAACAACAGAATTCGGCATTCGAAGCAGCGCGAAAGCTGATTTCAAAAGTGAGAGAAAACGTATTATTTCTTTCTTTTTATTGGAAGTTTATGTTTTTTGCTTGCTGATCATCTTACCTTTCGCAGAAAGACATTTCATTGATATTCTTTTTCAGGATTTGGTTGTTGGACAACCAGGGCAGGTGTCTTCGAAGCTGACAAAGTCTGTGATAGTCACCTCCGGTTCCGAGGGTGTAGCGGCAAGCAGACCCATGAGTAGTGTCACAGCTGATGAAACTAGTGATGAAGTCATAACTCCACTAAGTCATGTAACGAAAACTCGAGCTCGCCCTCCAGGAAAACGACCTGCCAGCATGATGCTGATAAAGAAGAAAGGGGTGAGCCAACTGTTACTTTGTTAGTAGAACTCTTCAGTTAAGCAGGCATATAATTTGTTCAGTCAATGGATAATCTTCTCGAGAGTCCATCTAAACCAGTAGCTAGTGAACTACCTGAAAAAAGTTCTTTCACGAGCACCATAGGAACGACACTGTCATCACCTCATTCATCTTTTTCGACAAATCGCGAAGTTCATGTAAGTTTGCTGACTAAGATAATGCCTCTGTGATCGTGATGCGTTGATCCGAACTGGGCGCATTCATACTAGGTGCATTCATACTAGGTGTAGGCACCCGCACTGAAGTGCGGGTGCCGGTGGTATGAACGCGCCCACTATGATATTGGTGAAGTTTCTGTATGCCAATGTTCAATGGTTCAGGCTATGTCTCCAGCTTCGATTACTCCCCCAGTGAAAGCGGTACCCTTGCGACCTCCTCCTGTAGAAACTAAATTGGAGGAGAAAAAAGAACACGTGTCCAGTAAGCAGTAGACTCTTTTCCTGTGAGTGC